TTCCTAATTTATCATCTATTCTATTTTATTTTCTTTGTTTGCTTGCTTAGGGTAGTTTTTGGCTGAGTTCTAATTTCAGATTTCCTGTATGGAGTTTTCTTCCCCCTTGCTAGGGTTGAGTCCGATGACAGGTGATACTACAGTTGTATCTGCTCTGAGTTAGTGTTCAATCTTCTCCTTTCTCCTTGTTTTCATCTCCCTTACACTCCCCTGCTCCCTGTCGCCCCACTGTCACCCGACCAATCCCCTGTTATTGTTGCTATCCACGGCAATTTGTTGCCCCACACTTCCTCCTACAACCAACCCATTCTCACGCTGCTCCCCGTTAGTGTTCAATCTTCTCCTTTCTCCTTGTTTTCATCTCCCTTACACTCCCCTGCTCCCTGTCGCCCCACTGTCACCCGACCAATCCCCTGTTATTGTTGCTATCCACGGCAATTTGTTGCCCCACACTTCCTCCTACAACCAACCCACCCACCCCCCTGCTCCCTAGTTGCCTGCTATTCACTCCAAAGCCATCGTTACCCCTCCACTTCCCCTCTCACCCGTTGCTTTCATCCTCATACCGCCGACCAACCTCCTATTCCCTATTACAGCCACACCTCCTCTCCTAACTCTCCCTTAACCGCAACATCACCACCCCACCTACGCCGCCCTAGTTTTCGTGTAGTGTCATTGTTTTTCTTGTTTCGCATGAGTCTAGTTGTAATCTTTGAATTTCAGCAATAATATATTTCAGTATCTATTGTGGTTTGGGTTAACTCTGGCATCACTGTGATTAATCCTAGCGCTAAAATTCAAATATCATCTATTATTTATATTATATGAATAAATAGATTGATTCATAGATTTGTGTATTCTTCTATGATTCTTGTAAGTTTCATCCTATACCACATCTCAAGGCATCTCCCACACTCTTGTAGAAACACCAAATTGCCAATCTCCCCTACCTCTCGGTTTCTTCAAGAAATCAATCATCATTTCCTCCTCTCTCTTTAAAGTGTTGTCTTCAATTTGCATCATATCCACAAGGTAAAATTCAAGAGAGAGAAACAACATATAATCCAAAACCAAAAAAAAGGAAAAAGGAGAAATTAGATTAAGCACGGTGATCATCTACAAGTCTTAGGAAGATGATGACTAGTGAGACAACCAAACATCTTTCTCCCTCACAAGTGATTTTGCGAGCAATTTCTACTTCTTCCATTGACACCATACCTCTCATCTTTCCCACGACAACCCAACATGCATCAAACCCTCCTTCTTATCCTTTACGTGTACATTTATTTAAAAAAATATGTATTCACACATTTCCTTTCACGGTACAATGGGTACCAAAGATGTTATAGCAGAACCTCTATTGCTATCATGGGCTACGTCTAAAAGATTTGTCGAATCACTATCATCTCTCACTCATCGGCACAAAGCTAATATTCATCTCTAAAATCCCCATTTTCTGCTTTCTCTTGTGTCATTGTCAGTTTCTTCCACTACCTTTTGCTCGGTGAAAAATGTTCTCTTGTTTAAACAAGCAGAAGTATTATGTTAAAAATCATGGCACTTAAAGTACTTCTTGAGTGAGAATGATTGAGAGTGCTAAGAGAACCCAATTTTTCCTCGTCTTGGGTTGATTTAACCTCGCAATGGGCTGGATTAGGTGCTCTAATGAATTTACTCTTGCCGCCTAATCCTAAGATTGAGCCATGTGTGTAAGGTGTGTGGTCCCCTGGTGACAATGACGCTTCTCCACATTTAAAGCTAGAGTATGTACATCAAGTATAGACTAATAAGGCTACAATTACACAACATTGTTGATAAATGACTTCAATACTCTTAGATAACTCATCAATGTGTGTTCCTCTGGCTCCACTAATTCACATTTCAGTATAAGCTTATCAGATTTTGTCGTGTACTACTCCATGGAAGTATATCTCTAGTGAAAATTGTGTAGTTTTAAAAACATTTCATGCACGTAATACAAAGGAATGTATTTGTGTTGCATCTCCCTATGTCATAATCTTACATTTTCCCTCACGTTGGAGAAGGTGTTTTAAATTTTCCAACCACAATGACCTTTTTTTTTAGTTTGATGGCTACCAATTTAACTTTTTTTCTCCTTAGGAATGTCTTTGTATTCAGAAATTTGTTCTATTGTTTGTAACCACTCAATAAATTCATGCAAACTCATATGTCCATCAAAATCCGATGGGTTGATATTTGCTTCAAAGTCATGGCCCTCATCTAGTATTCAATGACAATTATCAGATATTGATTTTTCATCACTAGAAACATCCTAATGAAAAATATTAACTTCTTCCTCTCACTCTGGCAAGTCATCATTATGGTTATGGGTGATTTATCCAATTTGTCTCATCTCAAAGACAAGTCTTTGTTGCAATTGAAGGATCTTCCTTTGCATGTCTTCTATTATGAGCTTTTAGATACCTCTTTGCACGTTTCTCCTCAGCGGCATGGTTTCACTTTTCTCCCAATTAGGATTTCAACTAACAAATAAGGAGTGGTTTACGGTTGGAATTAGGGTATGGAGGGTGTAGGGATGATTTTTTTGGTGGAGGTATTAGGTTAGGTTATGTGAAGTCTAGATTTGAGAGTGGGGAGAAAACAAATCCATAAAAAATTAGGATATCCATAAAAAATTAGGATATGTCAGGCTTTGATACCATATGACATCATTATAGAATTCCTAGAATGTGTTTAAGGGTCAAATGTTTTGAGATAAAACAGGATTTGGGAAATAAATTGGAGGATAATCGTTGTTTTGTGTGAGAAAGATAGTCAGAACGCAAGGCCGACACTAGCTAAGTGGAGTGCGGACGTCAAAGGCTACAGCCTCAACTAAAAACAGCAAGAGAACGTTGTCGATGGTGGCTTTCCTGTATGAGAACAATAAGAAAAAGACATTTGATGACATGTTGGCGTGACACAAACTCCAAGGAGGATCCACCACATATTCCCCAATCAAGTTACAGACACACCACTTAAGAAGATAAAGGATACAACACTTCTAAGGTGAGAAATCTGGAAAAAACAACATGCAATTAAAAAAAACAAGTTGTCCCAACAATCCAAAGCAAACAAATATATAGAGCTATAAAACAATCCTAAATCTAATTAAACCAAACAAAAAAAAACGTTGATAGGGCCGGACAATCCACCCAAAAGGTGAAACAACTTAAACCGGACTGATTGGACTAGTCTTTGTTCGTAACAGACACTTGGGTCCATCGCGGGACGTGATTAACAGCCGTCTAGACGTTCCCATGTCATGCAAGATGGCTATTAATATAATCGTCAATTTAGTTACCAAAAACCAGATGCTATCAGGAGGTGATCAATTGATAGGTATAGAGATGGGTTTGTTCTCCATAAAAGATACGTGTCTAATTTTTATATGTTGCAATTCTAATGATCTCTTTCTCGAAAATTTGAGGAGTGAAAATCGAGTTTTAGCCCCGGGAATTCATGATTTCAATGAGTGTAAATATAATGACTTCTTTAGTCTCCCTAAACTTCTTGATGTTGAGAGGGTGAGGTTGTCTTGATACCGTAGTTAACCCAAATCGTAATAGAAAAATCAAATATTATTACTGGAAAGTCGATCAGGCTATTACAACACAGATACTAAAAGGAAAATTACAACCAACTAGACGAAAATAAGAAATAACAACACACCCGACACACGATACGTGACTAGGGTTAGATCAGGGGTGGTGGAGATGGGTCGGTGAGGGTTGAAAGGTGGTGGGATGGTGGACGAGGTGATCAGCACACAAAAAACAGCAAATATGATGGTTTCCCAGGTTCCAGATAGCAAGCACGTAGCTGATATCGACATGGCACGGCGGTTCGAGATGAGGACAACAACAGTGGCTATGCAGATTCTGGCAGTCAACAGCAAGTGGAAGAGTTTGCAAGCTGCGACAGCGAAAGTAGGAGAGGGGAAAGCAGGGGGAAGGGGAGAACTACAGGGAAAACAGCTACATGAAGTTGTCCGGACGGCTACAATAAGGACAGAGAGGCCGTAAGCGATGTGGTAAGATTCAAAAAGTGATGGGGGACATAATCACCACCTCGGGAGAGAGATACAGCTGGAGCATCACACAATCTGTTAGATACAGCCCTCGAGGGGAAAACAATGGACGTTGGCAGCTGTCCTAAACAAAACACACCAAAAACTGCATTCACAAACCCTAATACAACACATATATAAAAAAATACTAAAAAAGAATGAAGGATAATAGGAAATAAAGCATAAGAAAGGAAAACGGGGTTATTTTGGGGCCTCTCGCAATATATTTTCTGCGGTACTGTAGCAGCTACAATACTGCATCCGCAGTACTCCAGCAACGATAGGACAGCATCCACGGTAGGCTCCCGCGTCATGTCTTCTCTTTGCCCATTTTCTTGCAGAAGACACTACAGGATGGCTTGGCATAGACTGCAAATGGAATTTGGCACTATTTCGAACTCCTGAAATTCCATTGAAGCTGATTGAAGAACTACATGAGCGTGATTTTACTACTTTAGGTGCATTTGAATAGCCTTCTTAGGGATGGATTACTGCTTCAGTTACGTGCAGTGTATTTCACTTTGATTCACTACTTGTGTTTTCCAACCTTCGTATCCTGTAAGCCTAGGGATCACTTTATACATTGATGTTTACATCAGCCTACTAGTAAAAGTTAATAATGACTGTTCCTATGATCATAATGAATTTAAACCCCCCATCATATTCGGGATTTTGAGAGAAAAAAGGTGATAATAAAAAACTGCATATCATCAAATTGACATTAATAATGACTGTTCCTATATGAAATGGACATCAGATCTGTAAATTGGTATCAAAGCAATCATTATTATGCATCAAGCAATACAATAAAACTCACTCAACAGAACGATACAAACAGTAATTCAGCAAAGGAGGTACTAGAAACATTTTCAGAAATAAATTTTGTAATAATCAGCCAACAAAGCAGTACCTGATAATGCTGACGGCATTGAAAAGCAATTACTACCCTGATCACTATGATAACTGGCAGAATTATTCCAGCAATCCCCAAAGCTAGCATCTAGCATGAAAGAAGCAGCATAAAGTGACTGAGAAAGTTGCTCAAAAATAGATGCAAAAATGTTTTTTTTTTCTCTTTCATTCTTTCCATTCTAAGCATGGTCTTATAAAATTGTTACCCCAAATAGTGTTAACGAATTCTGCTCATCATCCTCAGACAAATTTAAAAAGATGGGCAGTGTGTGAAGAAGAACCAGGACAGCCATGAACTGGACGCAAAGATAGATGTCTTAATATTCTTCTTTAACTAAAGAAAACAAAAAAATGCTGAAATTATTTAGGGTCGCTCACTATTATGGCCACGGAACGGCAATACATTGAGCTTCTTGCACTGGTAGATGCATAGTAATCATAATCTGAGTTCATGAAGCTACGGTCTGATGGAACAATAGTTATGATTTGTGAATCATGAACTTCCCTTCGGGACACCCCCCAACTTCCCCTGCATATATACAACAATGCATGATAGGGAAGCAATTCTATAAATATCATAAAACATAATACAAACACAGAAAGTAAAGTGAAACCATAGAATTGTTAACATGGACCTATGAATAGAAGTTGTAATCCCGATAGCTCATATTAATATAAATACATACACACCTCATCATCGCATTATCCTTATTTTAACAATTTAAGGTTGGTACTATGAATCCTCATTTTTATTCATTCATGTTAAGTGTTGTTTAAGACGTAAATTTATTCTTCAAAATTATTTTGAACAATTTCTTCAATGTAAACTTAAGGTTGTTACTATGAATCCTCATTTTCAATCATTCATGTGAAGTGTTCTTTAAGACAAAAATTTATTCTTCATAAATTATTTTGAACAATTTCTATCAATGTAAACTTAATTCTACCCCTTTTTCATCGTAATCCTTAAACAATATTTTAATCAACTCGTCTAAAGAACATATTCATGCCCTTTGTTGTACATTTTCAAACCATTTAGTCTACTTTCAATAATGTTGTATGCAATAGATATCACTGCATTCTTTCTTCTAAAAAGAATACTCATATTCTTTTTAGTTTTGCAATGCATCCATTTGAACATTCACTTTCTACCAAATTCAACTTAGATATCATTATCTTTTTAACGGCAAAAGATATGGATCCATACTACATCAACCCAATTGCAATCTTACAAAATTCACTTTTAAGCCTCCATCATATCATTTCATCACAAATAACTACCAAGGCACTTCTCCATTGTAATCATCCAGCCTCAACTTAAGTACATCTTATATTCTAGTAATATTGAATGATAATTGTTAACATCATATTCACTAAAATTATATATCAAATATTCAAGTTTATTCTACTAATTCTAAAGTATCTATCCTCTTAATATTTTCTCCAAAATTTTAAACTTTCACCTAATTCAATAGGTATCTTGCAAATTGAAACTACACCATTAACAACAAAATATAAACCAAAACACCCACTTTAAATATCTTTAGTAAGCATCTTTGTAAATACTAAAAAGAAGATATCAACTAAATGTTGACCATTCATATAAACATTTAGTAATGGGAAACTCTTTAAGTCGCATCACAATTATTTCTAATACTAATCAGTTTATCATAAATACCTTAAAACATCAATGTATATTTTCTACGCATTTATGTCTTCAAGAACATCAAATAAATTATCATAGTACTTGATCATATGGATCTTTAGGATCCTAAAGATTAATAAAAATTATTAAATAGCCTTTTTTTATTATCCACATGACGTGGGGCTTGTCATGAACCGCAGGAGAGGGGCTCTCCTACAACGGGATCGCAGGAGCAAGAACTCCCACTAGTGAATCGACCGGCCCATATGAGGATCGGTCCAGAGGAACCTCGGGCCGAGCGGTCCAGGCGAGAATCCTAACAGGGCGAGCAGCCTCACACGCCCCATCCAATGCCTTTTATGCATCCCGCTCGATCGAGTTGTAGTTTAGGAAGGGCGGTATTGCTGTCAATCCCTTTACCCTAATTTTCTGTGGTTTTCGCTTTCATTTTCTATTTTTTCCCTTGTGAGAGTCTTTAAATTGTTGCTTTATGGATTTATGGTCATGCTCCGGTTGTATCTTCTCCGAGATGGTGATTGTATCTTCCATTTTATCTTTCATACTCCTCCTCCACTTCCCCTAGCCGCTGGCCACACCCAATAGCTTCACCCTACACTGTCGACCCCCTTTCTACTGAGCAATATGCTGTCCAGACCTTTCAAGGACCATTCCGGCGGTCCGTCAGCTCCCCTAAAGCAGTTAACTTGTGTCCCAGCCTTTCCAGTTGTTGCCCCACCTTCCCAGCTTGCTACCCACCTTCCAACCTACCTCTCAGCCGTCCCAAAAACCTTCCTGCCACCTTAACCTACTGCCTCCCTCCTCCAGTTCACCTTCCAACCTCTGTCGGCCCCTGTCCCGCATTCACACATGGTGTCCCCCCAAGCCTCTGGATCCACTGGGCCAACCTCCACCCCCCATGGAATACACTTTCGAGGTGTGTCTTGTGTCTTTGTATTTATTTGTCGTTTATTTCATATTTTAAAGAGTCATTGTAACCGATTTCAAATTCAAAAATAATATTTGTGTTTTTTTATGGTTTGGGCTCACTCCTCCGGTATCATTTGGTATCAGAACTACCCAACCCTAATCTCATCCTAGGGTTTCCTGGCATCCGCCATAACCCACAAAATTTCCTTCTTACCACCCAGTACCTTTTCCACTGCCACATGCTCCTATGCTTAATTACCCTCGTTGAATTTTGAAATCAGCAACTTTGACTAAACCCTAACCATGCCACCAAAGAGAGATCCATTCCCGAGCCTTCTCGAGACGAAATACGACGAGAGTTTTGTCGTCTTCAGCAGAGGCTTATGGATATTGAAGATAAAATCCAGTGAAAAGAGTCGTTGTAACCAATTTCAAATTCAATAATAATATTTGTGTTTCTCTTGTGGTTTGGGCTCTCTCTTCCCCGATATCACCACACTTCTCCATTAATTATCTTAACATAAAAATCACTTTCAAAGTGAATTTTCTTGGCATAAAATCAGATTGATCCTCCAAAATTTATATTTTTTTTAATTGTTTGTTCCAGGAAACAAACAATTAAAAAAAAAGGATTCCTTTACAGTTAGCACAATATGGAACATCACTTTTGTTCTATATATTCACACTAAAATAATCATTCTGCAATCATTTTGTATTATCTTAATTTTCAATTTTTTTACTAAAAAGATATATGAACTAAATCATTGCAATGACCCCCATGGCTCTCCAAATCTCAACAAATATCGCATATGGACTGAAGACTCAGACTTATGCATCTTCCTCAAAACTAATTCCATCTTTTCTCAAACTATAATAAATTTCATTATAGTATTTGCTATGAACGTTCAAAATGTTTTTTTTTATTATTATTTTCATAAAACTCTCATTTATTAATATAATAATTATTTCATTATTTCTTTGATGTAAAGATTTTAACCAAGATCGTATTATCCAATTTTTAATACATGCAACATGACTAAAATTCCTTGATCTCTTATCACTCTATCATTCTTATGCCTATCTATATAAAATTGCACCAACAAAATGATAAGTATTACATATTTAGGAATGAATTCCAACTAAAATTTCTTTGCAGAGCATACCTGAAATTCATAGGAACACCCCCATAGTGAAACAATTGAGAAGGAGCGGTATAACCTGGCTTGAATTGCTGCACGCCAAAGATAATGACCAAAAATAATCAATTCTAGGCGCTTCATGAGATAAAATAGAAATATGATGTATAGACACCTGGCGGCATATCTCACAAGTTGTGTCACCCTTCTCATTACACCATTGTTGGATGCATTTTCGATGGGCAAACTGCATTTAGAAGAATGTCATAAACCAAATTTAAGCTAAAATATAGCACATTATTTTATACAAAGGCAGTTACCATGCCAATCAGGCTGGACAAAATTGTAGCTAAAGTTGTTTCTTTAAATTTAAAAAAAGAAAAAAATATTACTGAGTAGTTCATATAGTAAAGCATAATAAGAACTTGAAAAAAGATTTAGAACAGCGTTGTAATATAAGTGGAGTAACCATAGCAATTCAGTGAATGCTATAGCTTCTGTAATATATGAAATTGTTATATTAATAATAAAGACACCTTCAGGACAAATTTCAATGTTTAGTTTACCACTTTGTCTGTTAACATAGAATGGAGATCTGAAAATTTGCATTCAGCAAAAATGTCAAGCAAATTTCAGCAAGTTTAGTAATTATATAGTTGTTATAGTTCTATGGAATTACCACAGCTGGATGGTTGGACTTCTCACGGATCCTACAAACGGATTACTGTATTACTGGAACTGTGCAGGCCACAGCTGAGCATTTCATAGTTTTTTTTATTATTATTGGCCCGCTGAAATGACTTTTTCATCACATATTATGGAAGAAGTTCGAGGGGAACTTAATCAATGCTAACTGAAAATTGAATAAAAATTGAAACTCTGGGGCCCTTGGGATGCACTTTGTTTTTTTTTTTTTTTTGGCTTTTTACTTTTTATTTTATTTTATTTTTTTATGATTTTCACTTGAAATAAAATATACTTGGCATGCTGAACATAAATCATTTTTTTTAAAATAGCCAAAAAAAGTATTTTTAAAATTAAATTGATTTACTTTTATAATAAAAAAATTAAAATATGTGAAAAATATGCTAAACAGACATATTTTATAAAATAATATAAAAATAATAAAATTCATCTCAAAGGGACCCTTTTTGAGAATACTTGAACCGGATTTCACTAATTTTGTACAAATCATATTAGTCATTGGTTTAGAGAACAATGTTGATTAAAAAAATTACTTATTCTAGTTTTTAATAAATGAGTTCAAATTAAATGCAAATTTCCTACTTAATTCAACTGAAAGTCGTCTTCTTGTACTAGCAATAGCTCTATATTTCTTTTTAACTTAGGTGAACTTTCTATCTTACATATTTTCTTATAAATACCATCATATTTGTTTGCACGTGTTCATGAGTTTGCTCAAATTGAATATAGCTAAGATTCTAATTGTGGGAAATAAATTACAATTACTAGTTGATTTTGTATGGTCCTAATTTTTTATAAATTTCTCAAGATTTACTTGTTCATTACATCAATGTTTAAGTCCAATTCTCATATTTTCTAATTTGCAGTTGAAGAAAACAAGTTTTATATATTTAAAAGTTTATCATGATACTTGTTTGCACGTTCAGGATTTTACTAAGGTAGTGGTAAGCACAGAAAATAGGATTAACCTTGATGCTCTCAGGTTCTCATTTTGGCTATCTGAGTGACATGCAATCATAAAGTCCCCCGAACTTCCTAGAAGTATTTGACAAAACTTATTAGCCCTGTGGCCAGTTATTTTTCCCTGTTAGAGGTTTTCTAAATAAAAATTTGTATATGTTCTACAGCTTGTATGTGTGTTTAGAAGCTCAAAGATACAATTAAAATGTTCATGAAAGTATATCATTCATGGAAGTGTTTCCAGAACATAACAAGGTTCCCTACAGATCAAAAATGCAAAAAGATTTTAACAAAAACAATAATATGACCAAAGCTAAATGGAACAGCAAAATAAAAAGTGCTTAATAGTTGGCGCCAAGCATTAATAAATGATGACCTTCACCAAATAATACTTAGATAAACAAGCACTGTAAAAAACAAAGAAGAAACATAATTTATAGCTACGAGTTACTTTTTACTGTACCTTCAAGCTGCCACGACATGAACAGGGAGCCTCCAAATTACAATCCTCATCTTCATCCTGACAGATCCTACACTCAACTAATTTTCCACCGTTAGGGCCATTCACAGCGATCCTCTTCTGAGTTAATTCACTCCCAGAAGCATTTGGTACTAACGTATTGTGACCTGATTCAGACATTCTCCTGCTTTCTATTGCGGCTGCTAATGTCGCTTCCGTGAGCAGGCGGTCCACCAGCAAAGCAAGATGGTCCCCCATCTTCCAGAAATAAGAAGCTCTTAACGCTTAGAAGAAAATATATGCCGAGGTAATCGCAAAACAAGGCATCATCAAACTAGATAACAACCACAACAAAAAAAAATGCGGAAGAGTGCAGCAAAAGCTTTTTATTTAACAATAGGAACAAATCATCTCGTATCAAAACAAAAGCTTTGAGGAACAAGAAAAGTAAGGAAGGAGGGGAACAATTAGTTAAGGAAACATATCGACTTCTATAGGCGCACGAAAACCAAAAAGTTAAAAACGTTGCAGCATAGAACAAGACACGACGATAAATCCACCATTCAAACAAAAAGCCTGAACCGAATCAAAACCAAAACCAGCATAAAAACCTAGAAGAACAGAGCTAGTCCATCGATAAACGTGACAGATGGCTTGACAGGTGAAACGGTCGATTGGAGACTAAGTCCAATCAATAATCCACCGAACACAAGCAAGATGACGATATGAGGGCATTCGAAAGAGAAGAAGCAATGGCCAACGATAATCTAACTAAATAACAGGCAATGTAAACTACCATAAGAGCAAGCCCGAGCTGCCGAACGCAGAGGAAACGAGAGAAAACGGATTTTAACAGATCGACAACGGGATGGCGGCTTTCTTTCGATCCTGAATGGAACTCTTTCTTGAACAACTATAGAAGGAGAACATAAAATGCGCCTGCACGCTCGGCTTAGGAAATGTTGAAGCAAAGAAGGAGCGATGGAGGGAAGAGAGGAGAACTCGGCCGGTGGACGTGGAAAGAGGAAAAGGAGAGAGCCGACATTAAAGGAAGCAAGAGATGGAGTGGGGACGTGGGGTTGAGATCGTACAAGCAACCCACAAAAGCCAAATTTTAAGCTTTTCATTTGTCACTTGTATGTATGATATATTTTAGTAAAATGGCAGCATGTGCAATTAGGTAGGGCTGTCAAAAAAACTCGTTGTTCGTGAACAGTTCGTGTTCGATTCGTAGAGCGTTCGTGTTCGATTCGTTCGATAAACAAACGAGACGAACACGAA